CCCTTGGTTCTCCACAGGGTTTTCCAGCTCATTCTTCAGTGCACCCTCCTGCAACCCTCTTTCGGACACGCTTTTTTGTGCAAGTTTGTTTGGGAGCGCTCGTACCCTGTGTTGCTTTGCCCTTCCACAGTTCTCCTGGCTGAACTAGAAGCATTTGCACATTGGCAAGTGAGAAGAGAGGAAACGAGTGTCTCCTCCTCGCTTTTTTTCTCAAGGCTGGGCCAACTGGCAGCCCCCAAAGCTCTTGCAGGGATGCACCATAGCTTTCCTCCTGGGCAAGCACTTGTGAACCCTTGCTGTAGACCTAGGTCCTGAAACTGCTACCTCTCATTCTGCTGGCCACTGAAACACTCTCCCCAGTCACCCTGCCTGGGCCACAATTTTGCAATGTTAGCAAATCTACAAACAAACCTTCTGTGACAGGAGCAGAGTCCTGCAAAGCTGCAGCTGTGCGAATGCCCGGGGAGCGGGCCAGGTCTCTGCAGCCGCAATTTTGTTTTTTTTCTCAGTGGAAATTCCCTGCCATGAGTCGGGTGCCGGAGGTGAGTTCCTGCTTTTGGAACGTCTCCCTTTCCCTTGGGAACAGCCTTGAACTTACTGCGAGCCATGTGCAAGCGCACCGCTTCTTGTCCAAAGGTCTCGGCGAGTGCCCATGAACAGTGTGAGCACTGCAGTGCTCCCGAGGGGCGCGTGTTGCCCTGCACCTTCCCTGTCGGCCCATAATGTTGCATAAGACCCGCGGCCACTGCTTGGCGGAGGGACGTTTCAGGTCCGCTTCCACCTGCCCCTGTTCAGCCTCCACGGCTCTTGTGAAAGACCAGCCAAACTTGCTGGTGTCATCCGAGACATCCTCACGTGTGACCACGGCTTCTCCTGAGTGGCCTCAGGAGGGACCACTTCAGCGGAAAGCGTTTTTGCTTGTTCCTCAAAAACACCCGACCAAGAGGTGGGGGCAGGTCCTATGTCCCCCCACAAGTTCTGACTGACCCCCAGCAGGCATCTCCAAAGGCCTCAACTCCCCAGGCGACCGTGGGACCAGCTGGAGCTGGGAGCTGCCTCACAGTGGAGCCACCTTTAATTTTTCCGCTCCGGGAGGTGGGCGGCCTTCCCAGAGCAAAGCAGCTGCTTCCCCTGCAGCCAGCCCTGGAAGGACTTCCCAGGTGGCCGGGGTGAGGCACAGCTCATCCCATCCCGCAGGGAGAGCGCGCGGGGCCGGCCCGGCTGTGGTCACGCCTGGCCTCCTGCTCCCGCGCTCCGCTTTTAGCGGCCCGGCCTTGCCGGGTTTCAAGGCACCCGTGCTCTCCTGTGCTTGAGGCTGCTGAGTGGCCTCAGCGCTGGCGCAAGCACTGCTCTGCCCTGGCAGCTCCAGGAGAGTTTGGGCCCCCTCTGTGAATACCCCCCACTTCACCTAGTGCCTGTGTGGCCAAACCCCCATTGCAGGGTTTTGTGGCTTTTGGTGGGACTGATATCCGCTCTGCCCAGCCTCACCTAGCCCCTGCCTTACCTCTCCCTCAGTGTTTCTCTGAAGTAGGAAGTTCTCTTTTGCGCTGCGAAGTAGCCACAGAGCGGTGCTTGCAGGTGAGCGGAATGCTCAAGTTTCTGTATTCATCAATAAGGGGGTTTCTCCACAGTTTGGCTGAAGAGCAGGACAAAGGGAGGGGAGACTGAGTGGAGCCATGAACGAGTGGGACAAAAAGAGCCATCTGCAAGGAGATGGGGCCTTTACAAAGGAGGGAAATAGGGCAATTCCCCCAGATTCTTCAGCAAGGGGGACAAAGGAGTTGGTGAGCTCAGGTGAGAACAGATGGCGGGAGGCCGGAGTTCGGTGTAGGTGGGCTGGGAAGGCTGTAACTTCTGAGTACCTTGGCCAATGGAGAAGAGGAGAGGGCATCCCTCGGTCGGGAAATTAGGATAAAAGGGGGGCTGCATCCTCCAGCAATTTGAGAGACCCCACAGGGATATTCCTGGTGGACTCTCCCTTTATTCGAATAAAGTTTTAGGACTCCTCTGTCTCCTTTTTGGACATTCAGTTCTTGACAGCGAGATTTTCCGCACACAGGGCTCCTGGGGACTCACCAGCACCTGCTCGCTGCCCTGGCAAACCCCCCTGCCTCTCGTGTATATATATATATGTTCTTGGAGATAAGTGTTGGAGTTAAGCAATCAAGCAGCCTCCTAGGTGGCATTTCTTCTTTCCTCTTCCTTTACGCGGCGGTCACAGACTGAGCCAAAGTAACCTCTCCAGGGTCCTCTCCTGGGTGCCGGGGGCTTTTGCAAGGACTCAGCTGGGGCGTACAGTCCTATTCCTTCCTGCAAACGGTGGTGCCTGCTTGGTGTGAGGAGGCGCTCCACACAGCCCCAGCCTATAGCAAGAGGCTGATTTTCCCTGTGGCGACCCTGCAAGCCTTTGGTTTCCTATTTTGGGGATGATTTTTCAGTTCCTTAACTCTTTGCTGTGGCCCGTCTTGGCTAGAAAACTGACCAAACCTTTTCTTATGCCTCTTATTTTCTGGAAAACATTATTTTCCATGATAGTCATGCTGCTGATCACTTCTTTGATCCATCTGGCCATGTTAAACTGGGAATCTTCCAGGAGAATTTCTCACTCTCTCTGGACACTGAAGCCTTTTATCCTTGTATGCAGGTGACCTTTTCTAAACCGCTTGTAGTTTCCAGATGTTCCTTGAACTCCTTTTGCAAAGTCTCCAGCTGTTCGGGATCATGTTTTGCATCTTTTAGCCATTTTCGATTTCCGTTCCCACTTGGGTCAAGAGGAATCCCAGGATGAGATTTTCTCCTCTGGGGAGCCAAGCCTCACTCTGGCCATTGCTTCCACGTTTTTAAGATGTGCAGGAGGATGACCTAGGGAAAGGAAGGAGGCGCTGCAGAGACACCCCCCACCCCACTACTACCTGCAGATGCCCCGTGAGCTTCTGTGTCCCTCTTCAGCTGCGGGGGCTGCGTCTTCTTGCAGGGGCCAAACTCCCTTTCACCTGGCCCACTCCAGCTCTCCATGTTCTTCATCCCAGCACTAAGCTCCTATCTGAGCACCGTCTGCAGCTTTCTTGACGCTTGCTTGGACACGGGTGCAGGCAGGAGGACAGGAACTGCACGCTGGAGGTGGCTGCTCTTCCTGCGTCGGCTACAGCCACCAGCTGCGTCTCAGACGTCCAGCTGGGAGGCCTGAATTGGGGCAAGCAGAGCCGTCTGCAGGGCTAGTTACCACACGCTCGAAGCTATGGGGAGCAGGACCCATGTGCCCCCCGCTCCCATAGCTTGCTTTGTGCCCTGCTCATTGGGGGCCATCTCTGCTCCCGACTCCCTGGGCGTGCTGCACGGATGGGCACTATGGTCTCCGCAGCTGCCAGCAGACGAACATCACGGTGCCCAGAAGATCCCCTTAGAATTGCGAGTGTGCACGTGTGTGCGGAGGTCGCCGGGGGGTATTTCCCTTCAGAGGGGGCAATGCTG